TGAAATGAACTTGTCGGTGAATTAATTGTCGGTGAACTAAGTTGTCGGTGAAGTGATTGTCGGTGAAATGATACGTACCCATTTCAGTTATGTTATCTATTCCTCCTACTAAGTAAATGAGTTCGTTTAGTAGGATTTGTTGAATTTCAACCAACGATGCATCATGTATTTTGATTTCTTGTTCGTCATGCTTCAATAATTAACATTAAAAAATAATTGTATTAAATTATTAAATATAACAATAACCAAGCAGATATAAACTTACCTCAATATCATCATTTAGAAATTTATTGGCCTCATAGTAAACTGATTGGTTTATTTCGTCACGATGTTTTTGTAACATAATAGGTATAAGAATTCTTTCCAATTTTTTTAAACAGAAAATTTGTTTTATCTTGACTTCTTACATAAGAGATTGCAAGCTTCCAAAAATTGTATTCTTCTTTTTAGTCTTGCATATCCAAAAGCCGATGAACTTCACTCATTAATTCACATAAAGAAACATTTGAACTATATAATAACCATTTTAGACATCCGTTAACTGATTCTATCCAAGAAGTTGATATCATACCGTCAGTGAATTTAAATCGTATGAAACAATGGGCCCAATAAAACTTGTTATGATATAATACTTCCATATATGAGTTAGTACTAGGAAAATTTTGTCTGATATCTTCAAATCTTTTTTCGAATGTTTCTTTTGTGAAGCTATTTCGACATAAAAAAAATGCTTCAAGAAATTTGCCATAATCATTCCCAAGAGAATTCCTTAAGTGTTTATTAATATTTTGTGTCAAATGGAAGGCACAATGAATTGGATAACTTTGTGAAAATACTTTGCAGACAGCTAAATCTACTGCAGAGTCAGCGTTGGTAATTATAACAGCTAGTTGCTTTTTAGTTACTTTTAATATCTCTTTGAACATCCAAACATGTGATTCTGCACTTTCATCTGATAACAAAGCTTGTGCAAGAATAAGATTGTGCCGGTGTCGATTAAATCCCACAAATATAGATAAAGGCATACCGTAACAATTAGTTTTGTGCGTGATATTATTTAAAACACAGTCCAAAAATTGTATCAAATTTTTGACCAGTTCAGGAGTCATCCACAGCAGTTTAGTAAAGGTATTATCCTTGTCCCACACTCTAACAACCACTCATCGAGAATCAATTTCTTTTTGGTTATCTAACCAACTAGACATCAAAGATGCATTGTTGGATAATGATTTAGAAGTTGGTTGAAACTTCTGAATTGCTATATATAGATCCTTAGAATGTATCAGTTGCACAGGATACTTTCCTTCTAAGAGCTTTCGCTGCACTGTTGCCCCGAATTTACAATGGGAAGTTAAAAATTTTATATCCTCCAATATTTCAGGTGAGAACTTCTTATTTTCATCAAAATTAATTTTTTCAACGCTTAAAGTGTGATTATGTTGATTAACAATCTTATTGATTCGAATTGGAGATTCAGGGTTATTAGACTTTGGGCATGAGTAGTGTTTGAAAAAGTTGGCACGGATCGGATTCAGATTTGTGCGGATCCAAACTGTCGGATTAGGTTTGGCCCCTGAAACGTCGGATTGGGCCCGGATTGAGCGGATTGGGCCTAATTTTAGATCATGTCTTTATATAATCACTCTATGTGATAAATTCGAATTTGTCATATGATAAATTCGAATGTATCACTTCTTGTGCCACTATATAAGTGACAAATTCGAATTTGTCATGTGATAAATTCGAATTTATCACTTATATTGTGACAAATATATGTGACAAACCGTCGGATTGGCACAGATCACTCCCGGATTCAATCCGAATTACGGATTCAGATCGGATTCGGATCAATCCCGGATTAACTGAGATTTTTAATCCGTTTTCGAACACTAGGAATGAGGAATTAACAAGAAATTAGCATTTGATTTTTTTTGAAGTTGTATCTTTTTTTGATTTGGAACGATGAGAACCTGTATGATCACAGAGATATGTGCACTTTCTTATTACTTCACCTTCATGACATACATGATTTTTTTTCGTACAAAATCTATTTTTTTTAGCCCACTCGCTAATGAACAAATTACAAGAGTCCCAAGAAGAGAAAACTTTATTACTGAATAAATCAGAACTCACAACCTCATTGGAAGGTATTGAAAAGTTGGCATCTTCAGCTTCATTAATAAATTTATCATCATTGACGCTGACCACTTTGGTCATAAAACTAGTATTTTCAGATTCGTTAGTGTATTTGATATGATCAATGTAGACTTCAATTACTTCGGCCATAAGGTGAACCTAAAGTCAAAACATATCATGGTAATAAAAAATTCAGCACATCTAATAACTAACAATAAACAAGAAAAAAAAATTGGCTGATTCTGGAATCATTCAGGGTGGCACCTAAAAGTACTATGATATAACCTATGGTGTGTTTGTCAGTGGCTGCGCTATAAGTTTGTCACAGTGCTTTTGGAACTACTCGAAATAATTCATTTTCTGAAGGCATAAAAAAAGGATCTGAAAAAAAAAAATAAAAATAAAAAAAGACCTGTAATACGAAAAAGACCTAGCAACTCAACACTAACGCAACGCAAAGACCCAACTACAAAAAAAATCTCAGTAACGCAAATAAACCCGGCAACACCCAACGACGCGAGAAATCAGGCTACACAATAAAGACAATGACGCAAGACCTGATAACAAAAAAAAAAAGGGAGGCTTAGTGAAGTAAAAAAAAAAAAAGATCTAAAGACGTTAAAAACTCAGCGATGTAAAAAAAATACCTGGAGACGAAAGAAGAAGTCACATGGAGACGTAAAAAATTTGACGGCAATATTTCTGCTTGAATATGGGAACGAAAGTGACTAACGATGTAATGGCAAGAAAAAAAAAACCCTGGCGAGATGCAAAAAAAGAGCCTGGTAATACGTCAAAAAAAAAAAAAAAAAAGGACTTAGAGACATAAAAAATACCTGAAGACAGAAGAAGTCACGTGAAGACATAAAAATTTGACGCCAATATTTACTGCTTGAATATAGAAATGATAAATGCCTAACGATGTAATGGTAAGAAAAACAACCTTGGCAAAATGCAGATAAGAACCTGGTAAGATGCATAAAAAAAGAAAAGGACTTAGAGGCACAAAAAATAATTTGAGATGAAGGAAGTCATGTGAGATGCAAAAAATCTAGTGTTAATGGTTACTGCTTGAATATAGAACGATATAACAGCAAGAAAAAAAAACCCCAGCAATATTGCAACAAAAGACCTGGTAATACACAAAAAAATGAGGGCTTTAGTAACATGCAAAAAAGTGTGGCAATGTAAAAATTCTTTGTGATTTTTACTACTCTAACGTGCAATGATAAGCGACCAGCAATGTAACGGGGTAAGGTCTGGAAATGTTTGTTTTTTTTATTTATATCTAAAATAGGACTTTCCAGACTTTAAATGGCATCATATAACATTAAATGTATATTATATATAAGGGGCACTAAAATGCATATGCATTAAAAAATAAAAATCTTTATTTTTCATTTTTTATTTTTGTCTTTTTTTTTCTCTTTTTTAATATATATTATTAGCTAGTCATTCTAATATATTTTATTCTTATTTTAATAATAATAAATATTTTAGAGTATTTGAACTGTTAAATCAAGCAACAGATTAAATCATTCCTAAAACTACTTATACAAATACTAATCCAGCGATACACATTATTTAAACAATAATTTTGTTAAGAAAATAACCTTATTATATGCAAAAACTTTGATAAATATTGTTGCAGATTAAAATGAAATCTAATCAAAATGAAACTGGGGACCTCTCATATCTACCCTTAGAGTCTATAAAACCCACATATACTCATTTATTAATAAACCTAACCCTAAACCCTACCCCTAATGCTAAAAAGAACCCCAAAAAATGTCTCCCAAAAAATTTTAAATTTTCATTAAAAAACAGAAAAATTTCATTTTGATCAAATTTCATTTTAATCTGTGACAAATATTATAAACTTTTTTATTATTGTCATAATAGTTTGTTTAAAATTGATTTTGAATATCATTAAACATGGTTTTTAAATTTTTTGCATCATTCTCTAAGGCATTTTAGTATATACTTAAAACACTTTATCTATCTAACATAGCTGAGTTTTAGATTATATACAAATACATTTTACTGCTGATATTTAAAGTACTTAATGAGTAGAAAATATGAATGTAATTATCAAAAAGGAGGCTTCAAATTGTTCAACATTATTACATCTAATTGAATCTATACAAAATTGTCTTGATGAAGAAGCATGATATACAAGAATAAATGAACAGAAAAATATAAATTTTTCTATTGGCTTGTCTCATATTGCAAGCCAATATTTCCTTGTTATTAATTCATTAATTTAAGAATATTTAACTCCTTATATTCTTTCTACTCAACAATAGCAGCTTTCTGAAAATTTTTATATGATGTCATTGAAATGTTTTACAAATAAGATAAGTTTTCTTCAGAACCAGAAAACATTGTTGAAAATGAATAATTACAAATAGTATCAACTGGTCTTAAAGTACTTTTACAATAGTTACAATGTGAAAATATTGTTTAAATTTAGACTGAAATAAGAAGCTTGTTAACAAAGTAACAGAATGATCATTATTGCAAGATTAGAGAACATAGATCACATATCATTTGTTATATAGGTTTATATAAGTTAGTTTGGTTAGTCTTTGTTATATATATAGTCAGACCTTCCTAAATGTACTCTCTCTAAATGCAGCACCTCTAAATGCATGATATAAGCCTGGGCTTATGGTGGGACTTATAGATAAATGCACATTCTTTATTTTGTAAGTGCATGCTAATTGTCTGATCCACTTATAAAACTCTTTCTATAAATGCATTTACATAATTATCAACCAATTAAATCTATTATTCTAGATAATTAAAAAACACATTTATCATATGATATAGTCACATAATGATTTTATTAATGTTCTTTAATTGCAACCCTTCCTAAATGCATACTCTAAAGCTGGTTTGATGATATGCATTTAGAGAGGTCTGACTGTAGTTTGTTTCAGATTTCATAGTATAAGAATTTTAAGTAATATATTTATTAGAGGGTAGCATTGCTATTATTGTTAGTTTGTTTATAAGTTATGATAAGCTACAAATAAGGAGTGGAAAAGCTGGTGTGGGTATTGGGTTATTTCTAATCAGTATGATAATTATTGAAGAAGCATAGTTGTCTTTAGAAAGCTTATCTTTTTTTCGCTATCACGTGCCTTATATTAAAGCAGACACTATATCCTGCTCTGTTTCTTCCTAGCCTTTTATTTGTAATATGATATATATTATAATAGTAAGTTAAAGAAAGGCTCTACAGCTATATTAGCAATACAGAAACCTTCAAGTAGGCTCTATAGCTGCTTTGGCAATGCAAGGATCTCAAATAGAGCTCTAAAGCTTTTCTCACAGTATAAAGACATATGTTGTAAACTTTATAGCTGTATTAACAGTGCAAGAATCTTAGAGTTAGGCTCTACAGCTGCTTAGGCAGTGCAAGGATCTTAGAATTAGGCTTAGCAGTTGCAGTAGCAGTGCAAGAACTTGTATATATTTGGTTGTAGTTAAGTTAATTTCTTAGTTTCTTGATTTTCTATTTACTATACTATTCTGAAATTAAGCACCTCCCGAAATTAAGCACCACCAAATTTTGTATAATATCCAAAAATAAGCACCCCCGTATTTTATATTAGTTTTGCCTCTCTGACTTCATATTAATAGAATTCAATGTAATTTATTTAGGATTATTTATTTTTAATTTAATTTAATTTATTTTTATTTATTTTTTATAGCCGAAAATTAATTATTCAATTGTAATTATTCAATTTCGATTATTAAATTATACAATTCATGACTACAATAAATAAAACTAATTACTAATATCCATAATTTCAATGTCATCGCTTATATCCATAATTTTTATGTCATCGTTTATATCCATAACTTCGATATTTTCACTGATGTCTATTATTTCAATGTCATCGTTAATATCTACTATTTTAACATCCTCGCTAATATCTACAATTTCAATATCGTCACTTCTATAATTACAAGAATCCATCCATTCGTCTCCATCAGCATCAGGATTTTAATTTAAATTATTTGAGATACTACATTTAATGAAAGAGTTAATTATAAGTTTATCTGAGATTTGTTTCCAGGAACGTTTTACCCAACCACATACATTGCTTATCCTAGCACATCGAAGATTTCCAGCTGCAGTTTTTCCAGTACCACCTTTTGCCATCCACAGATGCCATTCTTTGCGAAGATTGTCTTTGAATAGTTTATTAATTGCAATGTCAAGTGGTTGACAAATGTGGTTAAGCCACCCGGAATAACTGCTAAGTCTATACCATTGTCCCGAAACTTATTTTTGACTGAGTCTTCTAAATGTCCTCTAAAAGAATCATACACCATCATCATTGGAGTCCCATATTCATTATTAGTTCTTACACGATTAATATAATCAATATATCGTATCATCAAATTAGTATCCATCCATCCATTATCCTGAAACTAAGTAAAGATACTAGATGGAATTTTTTCGCTCTGTGGTAATTGCTTTCCTTTGAAAATACAAATTGGAGGGAACTTCGTTCCATCTACATAAAAGACAATTATCAAAAGTTATAAAATTTATATTTCAACCTTTAAAAAAAAATCTTCTTACCCGCAGCACAAGTTAAAACTACTGTAAACCGATTTTTGTCATTGTTGGTTCCACAAATGTGAATTGTTTTTTCACCTTTCTGATTGATAGTAAAGTTACCAACCATATCAAACCAGACAGAAGTTTCGTCCATATTGAAAATATTTGATAATTCAAAGAGCTTCTTATTTTTAAGACGGTTAATAAATTGATAAAAGTTCTCTAATAATTTGTTAGTTTGTGAAGGAAGCTTTTGTGAAACTTTAGTACGTCATCGTCGTGCTAGATCATATCTTCTCATAAATGCAAACATCCAACGACATGACAATTTGAAATCTTTTGCTGAATTACTATAAAGAACCATTATTTCAGGCTCTTTTAAAATATCAAGCATTTTGGTATGTGCAATTTCATAAGAAACACCCAATCCTTGTTTCCTTGGTTCTATAATCCAATCGTATAACATTTTTTCAGCCTCTAGATAAAATTCTTTTCGTCCAGAGCCAACTCGCTTGGTGCTTTTTTTTATCTTAGTTATCCATAGGCTACTTGTTTTAATCCAACGACCAAC